ATACGCTCGCTCTCCTGTTCGAAGTTCGCTGGCGGCAGACACTCCGCGTGCAGTGCCGTGTTTGGTCTCGCGTTCGCTTGCTCGAGCTGAATGACGTCGCTCGCTTAGGACTCGCTGACTTGTTAGCGGCACGGTGGTTCGCTGAGTTGTGACTGCGCCCGCCGCTCCTAAGGTGTTGCGCTACGGGGATCGAAATGAGTTTTTGACGATGTGTGACATCACGGTGAAATTATTAGCATGTCATATCTGACATATGTTTTCATTTCACCTTGCACGTATTTCTCATATGCATTTGTATTCATCCTCTGTCACGTGTGACTCACTATTTTACATACTTATTGTGCAGCCGTGGGCACACACTGTGCTGAAGACTGTGCGCTGGCGTCTGCGATGCCCGTCATCCATCTCTTTCGTCAGAGCAGCTTCAGAAGGACTGTGCGAGATGTGAAGGTAAAGTTATTTGTGTGTCATATTTTAACGCTTGTTTTTATATTAACGTGCACGTACTTGTCATATGCGTGCATCTACATCTTCTGACACGTGTGTCTAACTATTTTTACTATATTATTGTACGTGCAGCCGTGGGAACACAACAGGCTGAAGGCTGCGTGCGCTGGCGTCTGCAATAACTGTCATCTATCGCCTTCGTTGGATGTGCTCCCCAAGGAGTGAACAACATTTGACAACGAGAATGGACTTGTACACTTCACCATGAATTCACTTAAAAAAATGGAGAAACTTTATGTGTATGTAGAAAAATAAAAGATTTCGATGTCTCACTTTTGTCTTTCGTTGTTGCCGTGACTGTGAAAGCAGTTAGACATAGGTGGATAACTACTTTTTCGCGTGTTCTTTTCTGCGGAATTCGTTCGTCACTGTGCAGAAAAAACAAGCGAAAAAAGTATTCGGCCTGGCGGAAAATAAACAAAAAACAATGTTTGAACTGGGGACAAAAAGTTCATCCGATTTGAGTATGAGTGGATCAACCGTTCGACCGGCAAGGTGCAACTGTGAGGACTAAAGGTTTCCCGGTAAGGTGTAAATGTGGGGATTAACAGTTGCTCTACAAGGTGCAATTATGAGGACTAAATGTTAGTCCTTTGGGATGAACTGTGAAACTACCGCTTACTCACTAAGGTGTAAATGTGAGGACTAAATGTTAGTCTCTTCTGGGGACTAACTGCTAGACCCCGTGCCGTTAGTCCTTAAAGGAATTAATGGTAGTGGCAGCTTCATTAGTCTCCAAAAGGACGAACCACACACCCTTTTAACACCCTTTTGCCTTAGATTGCAGAAGATGCTTGCGATCTTCTGCAATCTAAACTCGCAACTGGTTTGTTCAAAATAAACCAGTTGCGAGTTTGCGCCCGTGTTGTTTGCCTCTTTTCCTTGTGTCCGTGTACGTGTTTGCGCAAAGAAGTTATGAATGCTTGCGATACTTGTCCGAAACCCACCCATGATAGTCAATGAATTTTTTACGGAGGCCACATCTATAGAAAAGGCGCTTGAGATGTGAACAACGCATAACAGCCGCGCATCATTCAACTGTGCTGAAGCCTTCAGTACAAACGACCTGCGTGAGACCATTCCAGCGATCGTGCGGAAAGAGCTGCGCAACCTGCTACCTTCGCTGCAGCCTCAAGCTAATCTGATCGCCTGCATTTTCCGTGAAGAAGTTCGCCAGTCGCATGGAATCCTGGAAGAACCGCAGCCTGAACCACAAGCTATGAGCTACGCCGTTGCAGTGCGCCGCAACGCTCCTCCACGCTCGTGTCAGGACACTGCCCCGCCAGATTTCTACCGCCAGGAACTGCCACCACCATCACCGACACCATTCCACCCAACTTCCGGCCAGAGCTACGCTTATAGGAATACTGGCGTCTTGAGAGCCCCTGACCACCGCCAACTGTGCTACCACTGCGGCGAAGCCGGGCACACGTACCACCGCTGCCAGTACCGTCAGATGGGACTTCGTGGCTTCGCCATCGACATGCCGCGTCCACAGTGGGGTGAAAGATCACTTGACGTCGCCGACAATATCGCCAGAGCGCAGAGGACAACCAGAGGGTCTTCTCGTTTACCATCACCCAGTCGCTACATGTCACTGCACCGCTGGCAGTACACTGGCCAAAGGCGGGACCGGTCGCCTAGCCCGTATGACAAAAACTAAGGGCAGAAACCGATGGAGGAGTGGTTGCTGTACGACGAACTGCTGAAGATCATCCGCCACTGACGGTGACACCACGAGGAAAACTCAAGAACCCGCCGTAAACTGAACGTAGCCCTGACGTCAAAAATCCACTTGCCGAAGGCGACCTGACAACGCAACATGGAAGCAATGGAGCAAACCGACGTAGCCATTATCCGACGCCGCGACGTAACCGCAACGCGAGATGACGGATTAGTGACCTCGACCTTCTATTCTACGGTCATAGCGTCACCGCTCTCGTCTACACTGGAGCCGGCTACTCCGTCGTCAGTGGACTTTTCGCCACGAAGATGAAGTTCAGGACAGCTTGGGAAGGACAAGAAATTCGAACCACTTGAGTTCATCTAATAACGCCAGTGGGAGTCTGCAGCACAGGAGTCACCGGCTAAGAAAACCTGGATGTGAATGAGTACCTCCAGCACGCTGAAGAAGCCCGACAACTCGCCCACCTTTGCATAACGAACCACCAGAATGCCGACAGCCGCCGTTACAACTTTCGACGACGCTTTATGGAATACAAGGCCGGTGAACGTGTTTGCTTATGGACGCTGGTACGCCCACGCGGACTCAGTGAAACACTTCTACAACGGTACTTCAGACCTTACAGGGTAGGTCAACGTTCCCGCCCACTCAATTACGAGATTGTCCCCAAAGGTATCACGAATTCTCTATGACGTCGATCGCGACCTGAAGCCGTCCATGTCACGCGCCTCAAGCCATTTCATGCGTGTTAAAGGGCCACTCACCAGGTTTGAAAATTTTGAGCTGACAAGCGCAATGCGTAGACGAGGCGTTCATGATTACGTCTGCCAAAATTTACAACGCTACGCGCCACGGAAATGGGCAAGAGTTCAAGATGAAAGCTGCTCCCCTTCCCCTCTGCCGGCGCACGCGTAGAGAAAGAGGAAATGACGTAGGCGTAGGAATGGCCCTACGTACACGGCAGTGCAGTGACGTTGGTCCTCTACGTAGACGGCTCTGCTCTGACGTTGTCAACAGTATACCACGTGACATGGCAAAAATTATTTAACACAACATGCGTAGTTTACGTATTTGTTGGTTTAGGAAATGAATAAGGTTTGAAATAAATAATGCGATACAATAAAAACTTGTGCGTGTTTTTCTTACACTTTTCCCGTGAAATGCTACGAGATGCGGGGCTAATGTGCCAGCGTTCCGAATGCGTTCGTGTCCCCGAGGTCAGCGCATTGAGCAGACGACCGCCGTGGAACGCTCCTACGCGTTCGCTCACTCATTGTACTCATCTACTCTACCGCGGCCAGCGTTTCCAAACAATTCCGCAGAAACAGGCAGAAGACCACAAAATAACGCTGGCCAACAAAGCAACGCCACTCGCGTGCATGGGGGCTAGGCTTGTTCGGGCACGTCGTGCGCACGTCACCTCTTGGTCGTATGCCGGAGAGGGTGGGGAAGAGATTTGCCTTGCGAACGCTACGTAGAGGAGCGGCAAGGGTATCAAGTTCGCCTCCTCTCAGCCTCGTTTCGCGCTGCTTCAAAAAACCTGTTTTCTCCGCGCGTAATGAACCAATTCGAAATTTTTTTTGTGGCAGAACGTTCCTCATCGGACACCCAACAACTTCCACTGTCTAACTAAAATTCGGTATAGGGCCTGGTGAGTGGCCCTTTAACGAACTGAAACAGTGTATTTTGTTGTTGTTGTTGTTGTGGCGGCTGTATCGTGATTTAAAGCTTGTACCAACTTGCATTATTTGGTACTTTCATCTTCTGTTAAGGCATCGGGACGATGCCGCGTTCCTTTCCTCAAGTTTTGTTATCGGCCCGCCACACAGATCCACCGAAAGGGCCTTCTCTGCACTGATCACTCTCGAACCGATTGCGTCTGCCACCGAATCGGTCGCCGCAGATCAATAGAAGTGCTAGCCAAGGAAATTTGAAAATTGGCGGCCAAGCTCTACTTACTTGTCATGCCACCGTGCACGTAACTGAAAGTTGGATAAACGGGAGTTAATTCACTCTGTACCTACTTCACGTCTCCATTTCATTGAAGAAGTGACCGAGCTTGTCGTTGGCGTGAACTAGCTTGCCGCGGTCTTGCAATGCACGACGAACCTCCTAACGCCGTTGTCGTCGGCGGGTTTTTTTTTTTTTTTGCTCTTCATGCATTACAAGACGGCGACTTGCCTGCAAAGTAAACAGTAGTGCTTCTTCTTGCTTCCTGCGTACGAGAATCGTCGTAGACTAGACCACCGGATGGCGTTTGTGAGCTGCAACAACAACCAGGTGACAGCGCATCCATCCCGCGTTCGCCCCACGGTAGATGGCATATTCGGCGGCGCATGGGGCGTCCAGTATGAACGACCGTGCCTTTCGGCCGCAGGAGCACTCGGGTCGCTGCAGAAAGCGAATGCTTCGGTATGAACTAAGGGCTAGTGCCAGTGTCTTGCTGTAATCTAACTTTCCTTTTACGTGGTCACAAGTTCGGCCGAGTAAACAGTTTAATCTTTGACCGACTGTCTGCTCCCTTCGTCGACGCCACGACTCCGTCACAATATATATGAAACAGCAACAAACCTTGCAATTCTCAAGCTACATACACGAGAGGCATTCGTCAGTTGCCGCTTGTCACTCTTTATTTTCCTTTCAATGAAAGTCTTCTTTGAGGATCGCTTGGGAAAGAAAACACCTGCCGTGCATTCCTAGAATGGTTCACGCACTGTGGCACGTAGTCATCTTGTGGGACTCGCGAAAAAATCAGACGGGTGACAATGCGGCAGGCGCCGCAAGTGAAACGCGTGGTTTGAGCCAAAACATGGCGGATGCGCGTGGCGAGGCGGCGTCGATCATTTCAGAGAATGACCACCGTCTAAGCGGGGGCGTGCGCATCGAGGCACTTCAGGTCATGAACCATCATGCTGAACGGTCTCACTTTGCTGCGCTAAGCTCCACTGGAAGGTTCTCTGTTCGCCTGAGGTCTTGATGGTTTCTTCGCTGCAGTTCACTCCTCTGTGAGAACCCAAGTACAAACGTGGGCACACTAGCTTATGCACTTTGAAACGCAAAGCGTTAAATTGTGGCCCATGACTATCACAGTGCCCGCTTGTTGAAGGATAGCGGTGTTTTAATGGAGTCGAAAATGCTATAGTCCCGTTTGCTCAGATTTGGGTGCACGGTAAAGAACCCCAGATGGTCGGAATTTCTGGAGCCCTCTACAACGGCGTCTCTCATAATCATATGGTGGTTCTCGGACGCTAAACCACACATATATTTTATGTATCGAAGTAAAGCGGTAGCCACGTGCCTTTTAGGGCTAAAGTTCCTTACACCGTGGGTCGTTCCTTCCTATGTAGTCGTATCATGGCCGCTGTATGAAAAAGCGCGTTTCGAGAGCGCCCACGGATCTCATGCGCGGCGCTCTTGTGGTAGTTACTATTGAGCGCATGCAATTTGTGTGACCTTTGAAATCTTCTTTTAATATCCGTCTAGCGTGTGTGATTACCGATATTGGTTTTACATACCTGCAGCCCTTGCAAATTCCCGGTTTTCGCGAAGAAAACTGCGAATTTGCAATTGTGAGAACATTTTACTAGGATCTACAAGATCACTAACTAACCGATCTGGAAGAGCTACACTTCTCCTAATGTATCGAAATTCATTATAGCAATCGTGAGTATGTCGCTTCAGAAAACATTGCTTCAGATTTATTCATTTCATTTAAAATAGGTGACTTCAGCAATTACAGTTGCCACTGCTCATTTAATGCAAAATAAAATATACTTGTTAGTTCCTCAAACACGTCTATAGTATTTATACAACACAGTATAAGATGCAACAACCACGAAATAATACTTAGCGTGTGTGCGATCTTGTAAAAGAGGGCTCGAGCCTTTTTGATGAAATTTCAGAGACAGTAACTTCAATAATGAAAATGGAGCGACCTGTTATGAATTGAATCATATGAATACTGTGAGATGAAAAGAGCGATAAAAAGTTTAAAAATAGCACCACAACTGCTTGCGTTCCTGCGCTATGGAATGGTGTCGTCTTTTTCCGTCACGACGTTCTTAATGTAATGCAACTAATTCAATCTTACATTCAACAGTGCACACATAATCGTGACAAACAGCATAAAAATATGTTTTGTTTGTTCTTAATTTAGGATGATTCTAGTCTCTTTATTTTTTTAGTTTTTACATATTTGCATAACAAAACGAGTTGACGATTGCTTTACAGCTTCGTCGGCGACATTTTTCAGGGATAGTATCTGATTGGGTGCACATTCGTTGGCGACACAAACGCACAACAGGTGCTCCGTTCCACAGCCGATACGCATATATGTTTACGTTCACACCACCCCAGCCACTGGCTGCAAACGTTGTTGCATCCAGCAGTCATGATACCTCCTTGTAGTTTTGTCTTATCTCCAGTTTTTTTTTCTAATTTCCAACTTATCTCCAGTTTTATTCTAATGCCTGCTTATAAGCCCTTACAATCCTTGTCATTAGTTACGCTATTTCTGAAAGATGTCGCATTGTGGTGTCGTGCATTCTCCCGCAATGCTATGTGGTGCTAATGTTAATTTTCGTAAAAGCGCTCGCACATTCCTTCCATAGAAGAAGTTCTGCTGTCTGTTTTTCCGGAGCCTGCTCTTTGTGCCTTGTTCAGGACAAGGGTTCATACTTATGTCACCTATATTCCACAGGCCCGGCACAGCTTCTTCTCAGGACTCGTTGATGACCCTCAACCTTGATGACAGCGGAGGGGACAACATCAACGTAGTCGTTCGGTATGTACGCGTACTCAGATGCCCTCTCATATAGTTGTAGGAGTGCGACGACTACGCATGTGTTGCTTAATAAAACTGATGTTCTGATTTTCGGTAACGGACGCTTCGCATTTACCTGTTGTGGCTGATCTAACGAAACATAACGAAAAGTTATTCCAGTTCAATGGCATAAAATTCAGTGGACATACATTTTCGAGCGTAGGCGATTACTGATCAGGTTTTGGTGCTTATTAAAGAGAAAACTGACTTTTATTATCGAAAGACTACTCTTTCACAATACCAAAATCACCCTGCGTGCCGCGAGAAGACGCGTGTCAAACAAGAAAACGCGCAAAAATAAAATGTGGGTAGCCACCTCACCTTGAAATTCCCGCAACAACATCCATGATGTCACAGGATTTGACGGAGTTTTCTTGGGCCTACGTGACTGTATTTTCAGGGGGCAAAGACTTAGCATACCAAGTTTCAGGAATTTCGACGAACCAAAAAAAAATCATTCGGTATCCCTGATGTCAGGTGCAGATCTCAGCGCGAAACATAAAAATGAAAGCTCGACGTAATTTGAGTATATTATAATGTTATATCACGGTGAAATCCACGGAGTTAGATTTCACAGTTGAGTTTACCAATATGAACTGCTCTTTAGTGTCTCTTTAAGGCAATCTGACCCCGATAACGAGTCATCCTAAAAGAACTGCGTTATAGGTCGCACGACGTAGTTATGCAGGTAGGTAATCATGCCGGTGTCGTGGTCCTGCAGAAAGAAGGCAGGGAAGTCCAGCTGGTGCAGCAATACACGTAACGGGAAATCTGATCAGGTGACTATAGAATTGGCAGAGAAAGCAAGACCGTCTAGTTTCTATAACAAGTAAACATATAGTGAAGACGGCACTGAAAATATGACGGCGGTAGCTTCTAGCAACACGTCTAGTGCGCTTCTCGTTTATTCGAAAGTGATATTTTCCGGCTGAGTCTGAAAAATTCGAATAAAATTAAAACCAATATTCTAGAAAGTCTTTCCTTATCGGCAAAATGGGGCAAGGCCAGTGCGTGTCTGACTTGATACTCTCTTTTCATCATAAGAATTGTCCCTCGTCCTCGGCTGAAGCGAAACGGTTCCGAATGGTTACAGACGTGGCGTGAGGGCGCACCTACGCAGTTTGCATAATACCTAATGACTTGCGTTCTGGCGCCAGATAGTTCATGTTCAAGCCACAATGAGATGTGGCAACGTGAGACAACAATAGGCCTCGATAAAAGATCTGACTGTCATGTCAGAACCAGCCAATGGCCGAAAAGCTCGCGATCAATAATTGAAAAAAATGCGTTAAAAATACGCACATGACCGGCGTATCATCGAGGGCCGCATTTATTGATTCGCTCCGGTGCCGAACACAGTGTTGACTCTTAAATCTTACTCGCGAAGCGGTTGGCCTGAAAATTAGCCGACGGTTCAATTCAAGAGCTGTAAAAAGTTTGAGAGTCGGCTTGTTGGTGAACTATCTCCAATAGCACAGGGGTGGCCAACAGACGAAGACTTGGGTTGGATACGTATGATATAAAAGCGTAAGTTTAAACAAAAAAAGGTGAATCGACTGGAAGACAAACTAATAAAAAATACATGGCTCCTCCCCCTATATGGAAATCGGTATAACACGAAAGTGCAGCGTGTCATCACAGAAGAAGTTCAGCGGTTTTTGTGCACTGTTTCAGAAACAGCAAGGAATTGCAAAGTCCCGCTAACAATGGCAAGCAGCTCGAGACTTTCAGCATACACCTCATGCAGAAAGCACAAACGAAATTAGCATTGACAGAACGAGTGCGAACTAGCATCCGTCACAGCTTAACACTTAAGGGTGCTGTTCAAACAGAAACACACACGAAACGAGCGCACAAGTACACACAGGACAAGCGCTTAACTGTCACGATTCTTCTGCCATCGCGTCTCAGCAGCGCGCTCAGAAACGCGGCAGCGTACGAAGTGACGTTCGTCCTCTCCCGAAGAACCGCCTCCACGGTGCTGAAGAACCGCCTCCACTACGCACCGTGGAGGCGGTTCTTCGTCGAGACGACGACTTTTAGAGCGCGCCCAACGCGAGCTCTTCGCGCCACCTCGCTACTGATAACAAAAGCGAGCCAAAGTTTTGGAGCTCTCAGGGCCGCCTAACGGTGTGCGGTGTATATAAAAACAGCTAAGTCGTTCTTTGGGCGTGTTGGTACGGCATATTGAAAAGAAACAGTGCGAGAAACAAAAACGAAAAATCACAGCATATCCTCGGAGGGAATGATGATGAGTGGGGTGAAGCGTCCATCAGCCCGTCCGTGCTTCCGTCCGTCCGTTCGTTCTTGCTTCCGTCTATCCGCACGACCATCCGCCCATCCATCCATGCGTCCATCCGTCTGTCCATGCGTCCATCCGCGAGTACGTCCATCGATGTGTCTGTCTTTTTGTTCGTGCGTCCATACGTCCGCACGTCCGCGCGTCTATCCATCCGTCCATCCATCTGCTAGTCTGTCTGTCCACCCGTCCGTGCGTCTATCTAGTGAACACTCCAAGTACCTTCATCTCCCATCTCGCATCTCCTGTGGCACATACCCGCTCTAGAGCGGGTATGTGCCACCGGTAGCTACGTACTACTACATAAATTCAAGGAGTGGACATACCCACGCCTTAAAGAGTTTCTCCTCTAAAAGAACCAAAAAAGGACTCACACAAAGCGCTAACTTACAACAAAACTTTATTCTTCAAACCCTGCAATAATAGCTATGCAGTGGAACGAAAAAAGAAAAAAAAACAAATGCGACACTCGAAGAAAAATGAAAAACGAACATCATGAAAAATTGGCATATCCCGCGTACAATGGTAATCGATGATATGTAAAGCACGATTAAGCAAGGTTGATATGTCCCTTTAAAATCAGCACAACGTTACGAGGCACAGGCAAATTACGGCGTACATGACTTCCATGCCATGATTATCATGTTTGGACCTGTCATTTAACTTCGTATGCCAAATTTGGTGTACGTGGAGCTAGCGTGATGCCAAATTTGGCGTATGTGGAGCTAGCGAAATAGCGGTGAGCGCATCATGAAGGGCCCAATATACTCCGACGTAACGTTGACGCGCGCGCACGTTGGGTGCAGCGACGCTACGCTAGGGAAACGCGAGCACTCTATAGTATGACGCCAGGCGTTACCAGCGTCCGTCGGCGCGGCCCAACGGCAACTGGCGCAAATTCGACGTGCTGCATTTCGCGCCGCCGACGTTACGCAGGCAGCACCGCGTCTGCCTCTCTTCAGGGGGGCGCTGTGAGCGCTCGATGGTGACGGACGCACTCCACATCGCCTCCGTAGATTTTCTGCTATTTCTGCGGACATCCACCTTGGTACCCCTGAAACTTGGGTTTATCGTCACCGCCAAGTTCTCCTCTTCGCCTAGACAACACCTTCATCCAGGTGGGTCCAGTTTTGACAACTTGAGGGACGTCCTTCACTCCCGGCTACAACGCCGCCTCGCTAAGGGCTCTCAGCCCGGCGATGGCGGCCGCTAACGTGGTTACGGGCTATGATCCTACCTCAAGCCAAGTGCTGTCCATGGAGATTTCATCCTCCGCAAACACTATGCCATCAGAAGACGAATACCTCGACGACATGGTGAGACTGTGGCAACGCAAGCAAGCGAAATCGAAGTCTGCGTCTCAACAACAACGAGACGCCACAGCGGGCCACCATTCCCCAGAGGCTTGCAAGGAACGCCGGTGCGCCATCCCTCCGGTGGTGTGCCTACCTCTGCTCCGTCCTCGCAGCCAGCGAAGCAACGCAAGTGTCGTCCGCGTCAAACTCCTCGCCTTTCTCGCGACGACTACATCGTAGTAGTGAAGCCTCGCGTTCCCTGCGAGCTACGCACATTCGTCCCGGCCGATCGCGCGGGCGACGCCATCCACAGCATCGACCACCTCAGTGTCCTCACCCCGCTCCAACCCAGTGTGCCACATGTGGAACTCCCGCACCTGCAGGTCTCAATACCCACGACTGCCACCCCAAGTGCCTCCTCTGCCATGGTGCCCATGAGACTGGGATCAGTGGCTGCACGGCAAAATATCGAATATATCGGAAACGCAAGCAGCCCTCAACATCTTCTCGAGGGGCCACCTCATGTTCGTCACAGCCAGACAGCGGCACCAACCTGCCTCATTCGGCTCCCACTGCACGCCGACACTCAGGCATTCCCACCGCTCGAAGCACCAGCGGCGGTACCTCAGGTGAGCAGTTGGGCAGGGAATGCTGCTTCTAAGCCTCTCTCACCCCCTTCTGTCGATCCTCCTTCTCCCGAACTTGCGGCCCTTCGCCAGCAAGTTGCGGCACTTCAAAAGAAAAATTTTCTTTTAACTAAACAACACGAACTCTTAAATAAGCAACTCCAACCCCAACAACAGTGTACTGCAAGGCCATCCGGTATTGCCTCCTCTGTCCAGGCGGCTACGCCAGCTACGTCCAAGCTTAGTCCTCGCGCTAAGTCCACTCCCATTAAACCGCCGGTTCAAGCAGCCATGTGTACTCCAGCACTCGGAACCGGTGCCGCATCTACTCCAGAAGCTCTTGAGGCTCCTGGGGCACCTCTGGTTCTCTTGCCCGCTACCCAAACTCTCCCTAGCGAAGAGCGCGCCCCGTGCATAGAGGAACGCCTCACGCGCGTCGAAGCTTCGATTAATCACCTCCTCACCAGCTTCTCGGTCCAACGCATAGTAGTAGAGGTTACCCAGGCTATTCAAGCCTGGGCAATCACCCAGTTTCAACCCAAGGCATCGCGTTCCCGCTCCTGCTCGGTGAGCAGTGAGGGTACAGCTCCACGGCGTTGTCGTTATGTGGCTACCACCACCCCGCCGTCGGACAATCCGGCCTCCGTGCCCCTCCCTGCCTCTGAGGATTCCGAGCGGGACATGGAGGACCAAATATAAAACCTAAGACAGTCACGATGGCTACCAATCGTACGTCCCGTT